TTTTGTTTTTTTGGGGGGTCCGGTTGTGGGGCCTGAACTCTGGGCCTGGGCACTGTCCCTCAGCTCTTCAGCTCAGGGCTAGCACTCTACCACTTGAGCCACAGTGCCACTTCCAGCTTTTTGCTTATGTGGTGCTGAGGAATCGAACCCAGGGTCTCAGGCATGCACGGCAAGCACTCACTCTACCACCGAGCCACCTTCCCAGCCCATGAACCATAGTTTTAATACAAAAATATGAGTAATACCTTTTGGGACATTAATCAGAATGTTTATATCTAAATCAGGGTAGGTGTGTATGCATGCACACACGCACATACATGCACGCATGCAGATCCCCTACGTTTCCTTTAGCTTACTAGAATCCTGCCACAAAAATCATAGTTTTTTTGGTGTGTATCTCTCACTAGACTTACCCAAACCACAAGGGATCTTATTCTTTAATATTCATCCCTTTATCATCATTTAACTCTACCAAAAAGACATCAGCAATTGCCTACAGAAAAGCCTTTACCCTTTGTACAGTCTCTTTACAATAAAATATATATATATATATATTAAGTGGCGCTGTGGCTCAAGTGGTAGAGCACTCGCCTTGAGCTGAAGAGCCCAGGGACAGTGCCCAGGCCCAGAGTTCAAGCCCCACAACCGACAAAAAAAAATTTATATATATGTATATAGATAGATAGATAGATAGATATTCATTGGTCACATGATCTAATGATAGCATACACCCAGTAGTAATTTATGCCCCTCTTCTTGCTCTAAATCCCTCATCACCACCCCCAGATTTTTTTAAACCAAATTTTAATGGGTTGCATTACTCTATTTCCAAACTTGAATATAATGTTCTTCCATCACTTTCTTCCCTTCATCTAATCATCCTCTCATCCACCCCCCCACCACTAAAACAACTCCCCTTTTACATTCAGGTCCATTTTTGGGGGGGGTCTAGATTCCACATGAGAGAAAACTTGATTCATAAATGTGTCTTATAACTATCACATTACCCTGTTTTTGTTTTTTGTTACATTACCCTGTTTTATCTTCTCAAAAGTACTCACGAAATTCTCAAATTACATTATTTAATTTTACTCTGTCTTACTGCAGTAGAAAGGAAATCCAATAAAACATGGGGATATTGTTTATCCAGTGCTTGGAAAAGTTTTAGCACACAGCAGCTGCTCAGTACATATTTGGTAAATAAAAGAATTAATGTGGAAAATTACTTTAAAAGACGAATGATGAAGTAAAACAACTCAAACCACTTTTTTCTAAAATGAAGGCATTTAAAGCTATTTCTTGGGTAATTTTAATCAGACATTATCAGAAAAGAATCATAATAATCTTAGTCAATTATACTCCTGTTGGACTAGGCCTTGTGGGATACAAATTTCATTTAGTATAATGAAAAAAATATTTCAACTGGGCACCAGTGGCCCATTCCTATAATCCCAAATATATTTGGGAGGCTGAGAACAGGAGGATCACAGTTCCAAGCCAACCCAGGCAGAGATGTGTATGAGATCCTCTTCTCAACCCATGGGATCGTATAGTAGTGCCTGCCTGTCATCCCAGACTGTATGAAAGGCTGAGACTGGGAGGATTCCAGTGCCAAGCCAGCCTAGGCAGCGAAGTCTGAAAGACTGTCTCCATGGAGCTACACTCAGTGGCACAAGCTGGTAATCCTAGTAATGACAGGAAGCCGAAAGTAGACAGATAGTGTTCTGGTAAGTATCCAATTTGGAAGCAAAACCCTATCCTAAAAATAATTAGTGAAAAACAGGACTGAAGGCATGGCTCAGTATAACGTCAGCCTAGCAAGCACAGGCCCTGAAATTAAAAACTCCATTATATTAAAAAAAAATTAACGTGGTATGCTTTAAAAAAATATTTTTTTAGTTTGTTTTAGTTTTGTGTGTGTGTGTGTATTTTAGGTTGCGAGGCTTGAATTCAGGGCCTGGGTGCTGTTCCTGAGCAATTTTGCCCAAGGCCAGCACTCTACCACTTGAGTCACAGCTCTCCTTCCAGTTTTCTGGTGGTTAACTGGTGATAAAGTCTCATGGATTTTCCTGCCCAAGCTGGCTTCCAACCACCATGCTCATATCTCAGCCTATTGAGCACCTAGGATTATAGGTGAGAGCCACTGGAACCTGGCAAATTTACACTCTTGACTCCAAAATTTTAAAGAAAAAAACATCATCAAGGGGCTGGGAAGGTAGCTCAGCGGTAGAGTGCATGCCTTGCAAGCATTAGGCCCTGGGTTCGATTCCTCAGCACCACATAAACAGAAAAAGCCAGAATTGGCACTGTGGTTCCAGTGGTAGAGCGCTAGCCTTGAGCTGAAGAGCTGAGGGACAGCGCCCAGACCCAGAGTTCAGGCCCCATGACCGGCAAAACAAACAAACAAACAAACAACAAAAAAACATCATCAATATAGATTTAGCTCTAAGTATTTCAGCATAGCTAAAGGTTTATAATCAGGAAAATTATAAACAACCTAAAGTTCTAATATATATGTATATTACTTACATGAAATATTAAATGTCTGTTATAAAAGTACGAGTTTGCTAAAATGTTAAAGATTCTGAATGAGACCGAAAGTTCACAGTGCAACAGGCAAATTACAAATAAAGTTCCAAGGCTAGAAGTATGGGCTCTGTGGTAGAGCACTGGCCTAGTATGTCCAAGATACTGGATTTAATCACAACAATAAATGAAGTTCAAAACACAGCTTTTCCTTTTAAGTATTATATACAGAGAAACAAAAACCAGAATATATACTGAGAAAACATGTCTATAAATACATAAATAATGTAGATTTCACAGTATTTGTATTTAATGATGGCTTTAATGTTTTGCTGTTTGCTATTTATTCTGGCAAAACTGTTCTAGAGTACATATCCATTCCTTACATAAAAGTATAAAATATTGGAACTATTAAAACAAATTGTTCATTTTTCCTGGAACATTTGTTAATTTAATATTTTCTTTGATGCAGTATCATGCTACGTAGCCATTATGGCTTTGAACTCATAATCCTCCTGATTCTGCCTCCCAAATATTGGGATTAGGTTATTGCCTGGTGTCAGGCTAGTAACTCATTAATATAAAATTCACGAACACACATACTTTTGAAGAGGTATTTTAGACTTCTGCATTGCTTGAAGTATTTTATAATGCAATTATTCATTTTGTAAAAAAAAACAACAAATATGTACCTATTCCATATTAGCTTTTTATTAAAAAACAGTAACAGATCATTTTATGTAAGCGAGGTGCTGGTAGCTCATGCCTATAATCCAAGCTATTCAGGAGGCTGATAATCTGAGGATCAAGGTTTAAAGCCAGCCCACTCAGGAAAGTCCATGAGACTCTTATCTCCAATTAACCGAAAAAAGCTGGAAGTGGAGCTGTGGCATAAGTGGTACAGAACTAGGACTGAGCAAAAAAACTCAGTTATAGCACTTAGGCCCAGAGTTCAAGACCCAGGCCTGGCAAAAAAGAACAAAAAAAACTTGAACATTTTATGTTTACAAAGTACTCCTTTTAGAGCCATACCTGTACTTCCAGCTTCTTGGTGGTTAAGAGTTTCACAGATTTCTTGCCCAAACTGGCTTTGAGCCTGGATTCTTAGATCTTAGCCTCCCTTTGAGTGGCTAGGATTACAGGCATGAGCCACTGGCACTTGGCTACAACCTACTTCATCTAATGTAAGATTTTACTTTTCTAAATTTAATATATAGTCAAACTCTTGAAAGTATACTCTGTGTGACTTTAGGTAAAATGACACTAAATACATATTACTACTTAACAACACTATTTCTTACAAGTTTCTTATAACTCAAATTTGTACTATAGCTACCAATTTGTTTTTTTTTTTTGGTCAGTCATAGGGCTTGAACTCTGGGCTTGGGTGATGTCCCTAAGCTCTTCAGCTCAAGGCGAGTGCTCTACCACTTGAGCCACAGTAGCACTTCCGATTTTCTGGTAGTTAATTGGAGATAAGAGTCTTTCCTGCCTGGGCTGGCTTGAACAGCAATCCTCAGATCTCAGCCTCCTGAATAGCTAGGATTATAGGCGTGAGCCACCAAAGCATGGCTGCCACCAACATTTTTTAATGCAATTGTGTTTTAAAAAGTCAAGTGATGAATGTATATGATTTTTTATATCAGTGTTTCTAGGGGCTAATTTCAATAAATAAGGGTTAAGTTCAGAAATCTTAAGAAGTAACAGAAACCAAAAGTAACCAAACTTGTTAATCACCTATCAGTTTTTTTTAAAAAAAATGCAATTGTATAATACTATTTAATATTCAAGTTCTATTACCACAAAATGACAATGTATACCCTTAAATGATAAGTAAAAGCAGCATCCTGCTGTTGTTTGAACACAAATTAGTTACTTGCTGTTTAGACACACATAAGTTTTAATACAATCTGTTTGAGTCTTTGTGGTAGTTTCTAATTTGAAGTGTACAAATTAATGGTTTTCAAAATTACATTCTCAGGTATTCTATAGATTCACATCTTATCATCTTTTAGAATCATACTTTTTTGAGGATTTGAGGTAGACATGGACCTTCATTTCTTTCTGAATTGTACAATTTTAGAATATACACTAATATAAATTTATTCAAACTTATTTTCAGATAGCAATAGGATTATTTAGCATCTAGTGCTTTTGTTATAGATATATTAGAAGTTAAAAACTAAATATAAATAAGTTAATAAATTTATCTTATAAACAGAAAATGTTATTTTAAATAAGAATTTCATTCATGTTAGATAATAAATTTATTAGATCTCTAATCTTAAATCTAACTAGATATTAGATGTTATGAAATTTTTTCTACTTAATTATAACCTCTAAATAGATTTGTATGTAATTATGATAAAGATAAAAAGATAAAAGGTCATATGCATAAAATGAGCAACCATTTCATATAGCTGGATTGTCTGCATGTAAACCAATGGTTCAACATTTTAATTTATGTGAATTACCTTAACAAAATCTCTATCAGTCTTCTCTTTCCATTCTTCTCCAAATACAGTAGAAAAGGATCCTAAAGCTAAATGAATAAATAATACAGATAGTAAAATACAATTAACTCTTTTAATTTTTAATATAATGAAGCTTTGAAGAACAGTAAAACTGATTTTAATATATCTTGTTCACTTAAATTTTCTCTATAGTACATCAAAATAGCAATGATTAGTAGTGGATTACAGTAAATACTACTCCTGTAATATTTTTTAAATTATTGGCTGAAAAAATAGCTTTGTTCCTATATACTAAAATTATACAAAAGTTAGGCTGGTGAGGCAGCTAGTTTATGGGAGAGCTACCACCTAGCACGTATAATGCCTGGCTCAAACCAGTGACAACAGTAGTAACAACAACAACAAAAACTTTAAAAAAAACACAATGCATTTTCTTAAGATATACAGATAGCAAAGAAAAAACCTGAAGATTATTATAATAATCTATACTAGCTTCCATTTGTAGAGAAAATGAACACTGAAAAGAGAACTGATGTAATTGCTGTTAGATTGCTAAACCTGTCCTAGAAGTTTTGATACTAATTTCAGAAATAATTGTGTGGCTCATACTTTTTTATTTAAGGCTTTTTTTTGGGGGGGGGGGGTCAGTCCCAGGTCTGAACTCAGGAACTGGGCTTTGTCCTTGAGCTTCTTTTGCTCAAGGCACTCTACCACTTGAGCCACAGGGCCACTACCAGCTTATGTTTATATGGTACTAAGGAATTGAACCCAGGGCTTCATGCACACTAGGCAAACACTCTACCACTAAGCCACAAAAAGGCTTCTTTTATAAGAAGTTCCTATGAATAAAATCTCCATTAATGAAGATTCTCCAAAGAGAATCCTTTTCAAAATATTAACATGATTTTTTAAAGTATTCAGCATCTTCATGAAATATCTACGTGGCAGAACTCTCTAAGTTTTCTTACGTTTTGGCAATGATAGAAATAGTCTTTAAATAGCATTTTCTAAATTAACAGTATTTTTAGATTTCTATGCTAAAGAATTTAGTCTTTTAGACAAATATGACCAAATAGTATAAGATGAATGGTTTCTAAAAACTTTCATACCTTAATACATCAAAACTAGTGTTTTACATTATTATTCACATGTAATCCTATTGAAAGACCAATGCTCTCACTAAAATTCTTCTAGTTTAAAAAGAATTATTTCCAAAAGGAATGTGAGTTTTCTTCCTGCTCAATTCTACATTAAATGCTAAAAGCTACATTTCAAAGTGTAAAACAAAATGTGATCTAAAATTACAAAAGTGAAATGGAAATCCAACAAATTAGAAGTTCAAAGTCACAAACAAAAACACATCTTTGTTCCTTCATGTAACCAAGGAAATGGTTTCAGGAAGGGTAAAAAAATAACTTTTTACCTTTGTTTACACTATTTTCAATTTGTTTTCAGATAAAATAAATACATAGCGAATATCAAAGAATCCTACTTTAGATAATCAGGAATTAAATTCTATCTGAAAGTTATACTTGATAAAAGTCAAGCTGCAGAGAAAATAATTCATTTGCTAACATTTTTCCAATTTAAAGAAAAAAAAACAAACCATAAGTGCTAAATGCTTTGACATTCTCTCACAAACTGTACACATATAGGATAAGTCCTGCTTGGAAAAGATCATCAATCTTCTTTACAAATGGATTGAGGGGAGATGAATGGTTGGAAAGCAAGGAAAAGTTTTACATTTATCTAACATATTTTAGAAAGAAAAATTATAAGCAGGAAAAGATTTCAAGCTTTCTAAATCTCTAATCAAAAAAATAATAATATATTTTGTTGGTCATGGGGCTTGAACTCATGGGCTTGTATGTTGTCCCTTAGCTCTTTCAAGGCTAGTGCTCTATCACTCGGAGTGACAACTCCACTACCAGTTTTGAGTGGTTAATTGCAAATAAGAATCTCAAGAGGACTTTTCTGCCTGGGCTGGCTTCAAACCAAGAGCTTCCTCATTATCTCAGCCACCTGAATAGCTCAGATTACAGGCATGAGCTACCAGTGCCTGGCTAAACCAAGCAATTTAGTTACTGAAGAATAACTAGCTTTAAGAGAAAATTTCACAAAAAATAAACTATAAAAAGCACTGGTAAATCCTACAAGAGAAAAGAATATGAAATATTTGGCACACCTTATTCTGATTATGTTGGGAGCATGATTTAAAAAGCTTGACCTTAAATATGTAGTTTTTTTTTTAAATACTGACATATAACCAGTCCAAATAGAATCCAGAAAAGCAGTTTTTTCCATATTCCAACATTTATCTGGATTTTGTGACAACTAATCTCCCCCATATCAGGAAACTTAAAGCAAAAATCAAGATTTGTATACAAAAGGTTCTAATTAGACTTAAAAACCTAACTATTTCCGGGTGCCAGTGGCTCATGCCTGTAATCCTAGCTACACAGGAGGCTGAGATATGAGGATCACAGTTCAAAGCCAGCCCAGGCAGGAAAGTCCGTGAGACTTTTTTTGGGGGGGGTGGGGGGGTT